CCCCCTGCTTGTGTTCCCTCTCTCGCTGTGTCTCTCTCAGTCAAATAAATAAATGAAATCTTAGAAAAAAAAAGATATATCACTTTCATTTAATGCTCAAACATCCCTGTGAGAAAGATAAACATTATGTCCTATAGACCTTTCCAGACATAAGGGAATAAAAACTCAAAAGGTTTAGAAGCTTGTCAAACTTTATAAATCAAAGATCTTGTAGAATCTGACCTCTTGAATCTATCTTTTATTGTTCTTTCTGGATTTTTTTAATATGCAACTCATTGTTTAACCAAAGAGTACCTGACTACCTCTGGTACTACCAAAATTCCTTTATATGAATAGGCTTCAACTCCTATGGGATCTCATTTCATTAGCCTCATGAATAGTATCTAGAATAAAGAGTAGAAATGAAAAAAAAATAGACTTTAGGAGAAAAACATGAAGGAAGGGTGAGCTAATTTCATTTGAAAATATTTGTATTAACTATAGTACCTAATAAAAGACTGAGAGAAATATTTGACTACCTCTCAGGAAGACATCCCTGGAAATCCTGAGTCCTATGACAAATCTTATATTCTTCACTTTAATTATTATTATTAGTGTCACATCATGATGTTCCCTTCCTCAATACCTAACACTATGAACAAAAATAACTTAAAAAAAAAAGCCCTCTCACATCTTACTTGGTATATTCAAGTTCAATATCAGCAACCAAAAATTAGAGATGATCAGCTTCTTGTTAAAATTAAAAAAAAATAAACTAAATAAGAAGATAAAGATGATTCTTACGTAACTTGACAGATTTCTTAATTTCCCTTCAGATGCGCCAACAAACACTGTTGCTCCTAGAAGCTTTTCTCTGAAAATTAAAAAAAAAAAAAAAAAAGGGAAATTGCCAAAATCTTGTGACATCTCCCAGAAACTGTAAGCTGCATTCCCATCTTGGTGAGTCAGGTTGACGGAGTGGAGGCAATCTGAGTAAAATCATGGGAAAGTCCTCGAGTAGAGAAAAGGAGTACTTTTTGCTCAGAAGTAGCATAGGTGTGTGGGGCTGGGGCAGGGTGGAGGTGCGGGGGGGGGGGGGGATTTAGAATCCAGTTTGGCAGAATAGTAGCCCAAGCAAGAAACAGAAGAAAAGCTCTTGGGTGTGCTTTATTATGTAAAATAGCATACTAACAGCCTAAAAACCAGCAACACAAAGGCACAAGGATAATAATACAACAGAGGTGGTTGATGAGGTAAGGAAAAGCATTGATTACCAAACTAACTTACTGTGGGTATACATGACTGCTTTTAAAGTTTTAAAACTACTGCCTCCACTTTCATTAGCAGAATATTGCAGTTTGTTTGGATACAATTATGAGTTATTTATTTACAATACTTAAAAACTGTTATTTCTTCTCCATAGCAATCTTACTTGTCTTTACCAAGATGTTGTCCTTTACCAGATTTGCATTTTTTTATTATTACTGAGGCAACCAATAATTTTATCTTCAATGTTGACCTTTTTAAATAACTTTACATTAACATTGTCAATCAGAACATTATGAACTTTAGTTGGATTCTTCATCCTGTGCTGGGGAGAAGAACATTTTACTTCTACTCTTGAGGTTCTTTGGCTGGTCTAATAATTAAATTGATTTAAAACAGGAGTAAAACAAAAGTTTAATAACTTTATAACTCTAAGGTGGGGAGTAACCCCTTGAAATGGTCAAAGCCATCACCTTAAATACCATCTTCAGCTAAAGACAAAGGAAGATATTGGGGGTAGGGAGTCAGTTATGGAGGTGACCAGGAAAAGCTCAGTAAACAAGGCTGAAGTTATTATGCAGATTGAGGTCCTCACCTTCTCCACTGACAAGAGTTCTTAGACTGTTGAGTCCTTCCCCTTTTCCTGGCACGGGGTGGGAGACATCTTACAAACAGAGGTTTCCCTTATGAATATAAATGTATCTTATAAAAGGGTAACTTCTACTCAATTTTCAGATCTTCTTTTGTGCCTGCATTTTCTTAAAAATAACCAGCTTAAAATAATTGACAGGACAAGGAGGAATATTTTGAGGTGGCAGATTTTGCTCCCCTTCAAATGAATGAAGAGATCAAACCATTATTAGAATTTGTTCATTTTCTACGTGAAGCATTTGACAATACAGACATAAAGCTTCCTTCATCTATTCCTAAGTGAAGTTTTACTGCTGCTAATAGAAGAGCACACCAATAGCTATTGCTTTAGTGTGTGTGTTGTTTTGCATGCACAGGAAAACTTAGGGTTTAACGTGAGTAAAAATCATTTAGAATAGCTATTTGACCTCAATGAAAATGTATGCATCCCAGTGATCTATTAACACATCTTTTGCGACTGCTAACAATAAATCATCATCTTTGGAAGCAACTGGTGACACAAATTTCCCAGAAAGAGAACTCAAATACAGAAAGAAAATAGAGTCTTATTCGAGCCCCAGTTAGGACAGCCGCCCAGGAAACAGGATCTTCGGGAGAAAGAAAGTTCTCCAGAGAATGAACAGTCTTTACAGGATAATAGGCTTTTCTTCATCTTGGAAAAGCTCAAAAAAATTATAGATGAGCATATAGGCAGAAATCCCAAGTTTTAACATTAAGGAATTCGGGCAGTAGGAGCACTGATCAATTTCTCAAGGACAAGATGGTTTTCCTTTAGGCTACTCATTCACAGAGCAGATGTACAATACATGCATGGTGGGCCATAAGTCAGGCTTCTCGTTGAACAAAGTTTATGTACAGTCATGCAGACTTAGAAGTCTAAAACGGCTTCTTTTGTATATCAGATCTTTAGAGAGTATTTCTCTCATCATAATCATCTTAAAAAAACTTCTACTTTGCCAAAGCATGACTGGCTGAGTCGGAAGAGCATGTGACTCTTGATTTCCAGATCATGAGTTTGAGCCCCACACTGGGTGTAAAGATTACTTACGTACTCACTTACATAAATAAATAAATACACACACACACACACACACAAAAAAAAAAAAAAACCCTCACAAAACACTTCTATTTTCTTTTGAAGTAGTCATTGATGCTTCTTCAGCAAAATTGTCTCTAACTTTTCATGTGGTCAGTGACATTGCTGACCCCCATGGGGGATAGTAAATGGCATCAAATTGTTATACAAATTAAATATTCACCATCAACTTGCTTTAGGAATAGAAATTCTGTATTCACTTTTTTCATTGAAGATGAACTTTCAATTTTAGCTCATTGCTCCTAAAAATATTTTTTTGCAAATTTAAAGAAGAAAGATGTTCTCAGACAAAAAGAATAGTTGCAGATTTAAACAATATATGGTCAAGCCACCCCAGCAAGAGCATGTAAATTATTCTTTATATGCTTTGTGGCATTCTCAATTTCACGCTGTATTTCATGTACAACCCATCGGTAATTCCCAACTTTCTCTTTATCTCCACCTACTGGTAACTTGGTGTATATTACTGTCTCCTGAGGCCTATAGAAAGAGCCATAGCAGTACTTACTGGCTAGGTTAGGAAAAAAAAAAAAAAAATGACTCTCCACAACGATTCGAATGTATGAGTGGTCCTACCGCGTGTATCTGAATTTAATTTGTCTTTCAGTGATCCCTCTGCACACTGTCTTTGAAAGAAAAGTGATAGTTCTCTTTTACTCAAAAAAGAATGAACAAAGGAAGGGATTGGAGAAGCCTTGTCTTCTTTCAGATTTAATGTTGATTAAAGTAAAAACTCTGCTCACTATGCATGCATCTTATACTTCACGAGCTAGAAGCATGACCAAAGTGGAAGTCTCCCAAACCAATCTCACTTATGCTAATTCAATTAACACTCATTATAAATAAAAAGTAAAAAAAAAAATCTAAGACCATTACCAAATGAGACTGGTCGCTGAGACAAACAGAATGAACCAAGACATATGGTTACCTGTGGGTAGGAATCTAGTTATATCTATGCCTTTAGTAATGTTGTCCTTGACTTAGTGGATAAAAGTCTGGGGCAGAAATGCTGATTCCCGGGTTATCGGCTGCCAGGATGTTTAGCTGAATGCTGTAACAAAAGAGCATTTGCCTTGGTCTTGAGTTTTGTTTTGTTGCTGTTGTTTTCAAACAAGTGTTAGTAACCGAACAACCGAAAAGCAGGAGCAAGTTGGGACTTTATCAGACCTACAGGACTGATGATATTGGGCCTACTTACTAATAAATATTGGAATGTATTAGATATTTCACTTAGAGACTTGATTTTTTTCATTATTATTATTTAGTTTTTATTTTAATTCCAGTGTAGGTAACATACAATGTTATATTAGTTTCAGGTGTACCATATAGTGATTCAACACTTGAGACTTGGTTTCTTATGTCAGTTGAGTGTGGTGACTGGACTGGTACGTCTAACTTCCCACTGGAGAGTTTAACTCCACTTTTGCATGTACTTTAGGATATATTTTATTAGAGTAACCTCCTTCCCAAAATTATGTAGTGTATTTAATATCCATTACAATTTGTAGTTATTTTATATAAAAACACTGAAATTTCTGACTCCATAGATAACAAAAGGCCACAATGGTTTGCAGTCTTAAAAATGTGTTTCTAAGTTTTATCATATGAAGGTATGGAGTGCACATTAAAGACGAAATAATTTCTTTCAAACCAAAAAGACAGTTGATGATTTTATTTTTTAAGGTAAAAGAAAATATATATATATATGTATTTATTTATTTTAGAGAGAGAGAGAGAGCACGAGTGGGGAGGAGCAGAGGGAGAAGAAGAAGCCGACTCTGTGCTGAGCACAGAGCCCGATGTGGGGCTCAATCCCACAACCCTGAGATCATGACCTGAACTGAAATCAAGAGCTAGATGCTCAACCGACTGAGCCACCCACGCACCCCTTAAGTAAAAAATTTTTGAATGATAAATACAAATACAGAAATATCCAGTCAGATAGTTAGAAGTAGTTTTGAAGACACAGAGTGAACAGATCATATAAAAACATATATGTGAATGCCATGTAACATTTTTATTTACACTTACATTTTTCCATTTTGTAAAATTTTAAATAAATGCACTAGGAGATATTAAGAAAGATATTAAGAAAGAAATATGTTTCAATATTGCATGTTTATATAACTACAAGAAAGCTGTTCTGACATCTTTCTTCAATGAATGTGTTTTCCGATTACCAGAATTCAAATTATTTCTAAACCATATTAGGTAACAATACAAGTCAAATTTGTAAGCTAATGTTAGGACAGAGATCAATAGATAGCATGGATCTTGACATAGCTGGTATTATGGTAAATTTCTAGACATAGTAGGTATTATGCTCAAACATAAGATTAGTAGAAGCCAGATCCACAAGTTGGTTGGTAGAAAGCAGACTGGCAGCTTCTAGAAGAGTAGAGTGGACGGTAAAAGCTGGATCTACACCCCAGGGATGAAAAAGCACTGGGACCATAGCCCACTGATTGGAAAGCACCCAATCCAAAGCCCAGAGAGGGAGAGCCACAACCCAAAGATTGAAAGCCGCTGGAGCCAAAGCCCAGAGACCCGGTGTAAGTCGTCTGGCAGGGACTGAAGAGTGTGGAGGTTCTCGACGGGTAGCAGGACATCTGGCAGGGACTAGACACCAGGTAGGATGTCTGGCAGCTGGTGGGCTCACAGCCGGTCTCCTGACAGCCACTGGAGAGGGAGGAACCCAGCTGACAGGTGCTGGGAGAGTGGAGGTTGGTGCTGCAGAACAGGTTGCTGGGGTAGGATGAGCCACAGAAAGATCCTGGGTAGCGCAGGTGTCGCCCAAGGGACTGGGAGGGGAAGTTTCCAGAGCAGCAGTTGTAGGACATGGTGAGAGGAGATGTGCTGTACAAAGAGAAGGTTCTGAGTTTGAATGCCACTTCTTGGACTAGGGCATTTATATACCCTTATCATTGGGTGTGCCAGCCACATGACACATAAAAACAGGTTACCTTCTGCTTTTAATTGAATTGAAAAGATCATCATAATCAAACATATGTAGTGTTTGTGGTTTTACAACTGGAAAATGCAGTAATGTTTGTGCCTTGGAATTCAGATAATAGTGTTGAATCTTCAAAGCTATTAGTCATCTCCTTTTGCCAGAGGTCACCCAGCAGATCACTCAGAGAACTGCTTCAGAGGTAGACAGTGTCTGGGATGAAGAAAGCTGGCTTAATTAAAAATAATTGATACCCCTTTCACAATCTGTCTCAAAATTGTTGCCATCTGGATAGCAAAGTTGCTAACTAACTGATCTATTCATAGTCATTTCTTTTAAACAAAAACACACATTGATTGTTGTCAAGCAAGTTTACTTAATGAATAGTGTCCTCAGGAAGCAGCAGGGGTAATATGCAAGATGTATGAGGATTTTTTTTTTAATCAGATCTCAATTTGAACAGCTTCAGTGAAATATTAACTGAGGTTCCCTTATTTCCCATGTTCCTGCTTAAACTGTGTGCAGACCAATAGGAGTCGATCTTAGTTTTTCTTTCTTTTGTGTGTGTGTTTATGGTGGCATAAGTTAAATATTAAAATCGCTTTATATGATTTTGGAGTGCTGGAGGTGATTCATCTAAGATGCTGAAAAAGCATTGAAAATCACAAAAAGGTGGCAAAAACACCCCCACGTATTTCTATCTCTAATCAGAGGCAGTGTTTATCACTAAAAAAGTTCCCCAGAACCTGGAAAATGTTCTTGTTCTAAAAAAAGTTTATAAGGTAATTGCCTTGAAGTTTTAGACCAAAGGAACCATCTTAAGGAGATTCTTCCTTGCCTCAGAAAGCAACATACATCACTTTGACTTAAATTGTTTTCAGGTGTTTCTGACAAGTATTACAAAATTTCTAAAATAATGGTCATTTTTTTCTTGTTCTATGACTTGTATTCCACCTCTATGTAGTAGACTAATGAAGATTGATACCTTGAGGAAGAGGAAAGATTGAGAAGGTTTATCTTGCTGTGGCTTCTGTGATGTTTGATTCGTTCCTTTCACAGTAAAGCATTTCCCTTCCACTCCTGAACAAAAGGGTTGGAATGTAAAGTCCTCCATTTGGTTGAGAAAAGAATGTTCAAAAATTACCAAATACCTGACTCAGAGAATATTCTTTCATAGAAATAGCTGATCTAAGAGTGGATGACATTGAAGCAAGCAAGCAAATTCAATTTAGGTGAGTTGAATACCTATATGTATGTTTTAATGTTCAATATTTTATTCACAAGTAAAATGGGAAGGTTTGGGATCTAGGAGAATGCTTTTTGCTATTTATAATTAAGAAGCCTAATAAATAAGAATCGTTTACTTTACAAACAGAAGACAAACTATATTTAGGTCATAAATGAAACATGCTTGAAAACCAATTTGTCTACTCAAAATGTTCAGACCCATAAAGTTTACAATTTGGGAGTTTAGCAATTATCTCCAGTCCCCTACCAGACTGGAATCCCATTTATAATATCCTGACAAGGTATTCCCAGTGCCCTCAAGATGGACATCTCATTACCTACAAAAGTGGCTTGTCTTAGATTTTTAGCTGAATCTTCCCTTAAAACTTCCACCTAGTAATCTCAGTTCTTTCTAGAATAAGTTTCAGCTCATTTCCATTGGACAACATATCAATTTTTGAAGATGGGTGTCTTATGAGGTTTGCCCATTCCCACAGGTTATTTTAAGCCATTTCCTGCCCCCATGCACTACTCTACTTGTGGTCGTCAATGATGCTCTTGATGAGAGAGTCTAGAAAAATACTTACGATACTAGTCCTCTAGGCAGAATATATATGTTACTTGATACATGTGTCATATCAGAGGTCCCAATGGCATTCATTCTTTATTTCACATTACCATCTGTTCTTATTCCCTCCCATCCCATATCAACTTATAAAGATCATTTGTAACTATGAATTCTTCCAACACTTGATCGTTCCTTGAAGTCTATGTGGAGTAGACACTTTCTTGATTATATTTACCTTCTGCAGTAAAATTCCTACCCTATGAATGGAAACTAAGAGAACAAAGGCCCATTTTTTATGTGCAGTGCTTACTCTTTTGTTCTCAAAACATCAACCCTACCAAAAATTTACTTAAACTTTATGGGGATTAAGCTTGATAATTTATCAATGTCTTCTATCAAAAAGCAAGTCAACTTCAGGGCAAGGATTCCTTGACTTCAGTATTTTTACAATGTAATCTTCAATGTACTCCTGCAAATATTGGTCCCTTTCTTCTTTTTTTTTTAAGATTTTATTTATTTGAGAGAGAGCGAGAGCATGAGCAGGTAAGGAGGAGGGGCAGGGGGAGAGGGAGAAGCAGACTCACCACTGAGCAGGGAGCTCCACACAGGACTCTATCCCAGGAACCGAGATCACAGCCTGATCAGAAGGCAGACGCTTGATTGACTGAGCCACCCAGGCACCCCTGGACCCTTCTTTTTTTTTAATTTTATTTATTTATTTCAGAGAAAGAATGCACAAACGAGAGAGCAGAAGCAGGGAGAGCAGCAGAGGGAGAGGGAGAAGCAAACTCCCTGCAGAGCAGGGAGCCCCACGCAGGGGCTCGATCCCAGGACTCTGGGATCATGACCTGAGCTGAAGGCAGATGCTTAACTGACTGAACATGCAGGCACCCCTGGACCCTTCACTCTTAAATCAAAAACTTACACACACAAAAGCAGCTTGGGTACTTGTGCTGTAAGAAAACCAAAATCCAAATATGTAGGACACTCACTTAACTTTTCTACCAATTAAGAGTTCTTAGTGGGTTATTTCTTCTATAAGGTCCACAAGATGTGGGAGATGAAACAGATATTAAGGAGTGTGGTTGTTTTTTTTTTTTCTGTTCTCAACTGGGTTCTTAAACTTGGAACAAAATAAATATGCCCTCCAGACAACAGAGTATTTTTTTAGAACTTTAAACGGAGCAAAATTCTCACTGTATTATCCATTCAGATACAGTATCTTGAGGAATAGGATGAATAAAACACCAATCTTATAGGGACAATTACCATACAATTATATTCATCTACCCAAGCTAGTTGAATGAGAGATGACATCTTTACTCATAAACAATTGCTTTGAAAACCTAATGAAATTCTTTCATTTAAAAGTTTTCTTTCGTAAAAAAAAAAAAAAAAAAAAAGGCCTTTGAAGGTTAATGTATTTCATTTTGACTGGAGACTAATTAAGCATTCTTATTAAGTTGGGCACATGCTACTAACTCATTGCTAAGGTATATAAGCGTCCAGTAGAAGGTAACAGTCACACTCACCAAACCTCTCTGCCACTCAGCTGAACTCAGAACTTGACATGCATTACAATTGCAGCCCTGGAAACCTCTCCTCCTGCTCTCTCGGAGGTTACCTGGGGTACCCAGGTTCTCCCTATGATTCTTTCTACCCCAGCAATGAATTCTACTCTCCCAGCACCTGCCAGCTGGGTTCCTCTGTCTTTGATGGCTATCAGGAGACCTGCTGTGAACGCACCAGCTGCGGGACATCCTGTGCTGGGGCCAGACCCTACCAGACATCCTGCTTCCGCCCAAAGAATTCCTTCTTCTTCAGTCCCTGCCAAACAAATTACATGGGGTCTCTGGGATGTGGAAATATTGGCCTTGGGTCTTTCGGTTGTGGAAGCACTGGTTTCCAATCTCTGGGCTGTGGGTCCAGCTTCAGTCGTCCAACTTACTTTTCTTCTAGGAGTTGCCAGTCAACTTGTTACCAACCAGCTTTTAGCTCTTGCTTTTTTGGATCAACTTGCTGAATATTCCCCATTATCTCACCATTATGTCTGTGCCTTATGAAACCTTAACATGTAGCCTGTCCAATATCTGCGATTACTGATGATCTGCATCACCAAGACTCGCCATCACCATCTCTCCCAGAAGTATGTGATTCATTGTGGACAAAGTAACCTTGGCCTGTGACCTTTTCTAAATCAGACATATGAGATAAGCCTTGAATGTTCATTTTTATGTCAATGCTCAGAGTCCCTTTCATTACTCTCTAAGATTTTTCTCTTATTTTTCTCCTAGGATTCTTTCACTTAAGTGTATTTCAAATAGAATTGACATTCAAAATAAACTTTTCTCTACCATGAATTATGGCATTCCATTTTTCTTATTCATACAATACATTTGTTGAATGTATCCAATACCTTCAACAGTCTTCACTAGGTAAGCACCTTTTTGTTTTGTTTTGTTTGTTTCATAGGTTTTATTAATATGTTACTGAATAGAAAACAAGGAATTTAAAGGATAATTAAAAATGTGATATATCTTGTGCTCACTTTGGCAGCACGTATACTAAAAAAATGTGATATATCTTACAGGTTAAGGATTTATGTACACTGATAGATGAATTTGTTTATTTAATTGCCTTAGAAAATTTTGTTTTTAGTTAGGCATTCACTGCAAAATATTTATTGAGGTTTTTTTATGATTTTATTTATTTATTTGTCAGAGAGAGGGGGAGAGAAAGACAGAGAGCAAGCACAAGCAGGGGGAGTTGCAGGCAGAGGGAGAAGCAGACTCCCCACGTAGCAAGGAGCCCGATGAGGGACTCAGTCTTAGAACCCTGGGATCATGACCTGAGCCAAAGGCAGCCGCTTAACCTACTGAGCCACCCAGGCGTCCCTACTGAGTTTTGATTATAGACAAGGCATTGTGCTGAACAAAGGCATAAATTCCCTGCCTTCATGAAGCTCACACACGTACAATTCTAACGTATCATCATGCAGCAAGCACAATAATGGGGACAAAAAATTAAGGTTCAATAGGAATACAAAGAACAGGGACTTCAAAAAAAGTGTGGGGGGAAAAAGTGTGAGGAAATCACATAAAACTCATTACTGACAATCCAAAGAATTACCATTTCATATTTAAAAAAAAATAACTCTCGTCGATCTAATGTGTTAGTTGTAGTCCTTCAAGAAATAGCTACCAAACAGGGTTTGACCTAAAAGAAATTTATTGGAGAAAATGCCTGTCAGGGAAAATGGAGAGGTAGCTGGAGAATTCTGGGAGGGTCATCAGACCACGATGCAGATCTGAATTCAGTGAAGGAAAGAGAGAAGCAAAGAAGGAATGTTGGGTTGGAATAACCTTCTTCAGGGCAGTTCCAAGTTACCCATCAAAGGAGTTCAGTGTCTCACAGAGATGGGCCTGCCTTAGTATCCCTGCCAAGTTCAGTAACTGGCCAAGAAGAGGGCATGTTATGACGTCGACATGAACGTGGTGGTAGATTCAGAGACTGGCAGCTGGAGATGTCAGTCAATCATGTTCCCTGCAGAGGGAGGTGTGAGAGCTATGTTTTCATAGCTTCCATGATGTTCATTCTGATTTACAATAAATGGTGAAATGATAAATGAAAAGATGGATTTTTTCATGAATTACGTTCATTATCTCTTTTTTACTTAGTTTGATCAAAAAATTAATTACTGTAACAAACCTTATCTAGGACTCAGTGAGTGAAACTCTAACTCTACAGCTTAATATAAGAAGGAATTGAGAATTATTGGATGGTCATCTTTGATTTTAAATATAACTAATGTGTTAAACACGCTAGACCCAGTAGGGCATAATTAGGAAATTGCTTCATCTTTCTCCTGCTATTGAATTTCACACTTGACCTGAGGGCTCTAACTAGCCTGGATCTCTGAACAATTCCATGGGCAGATCTATGATCACATTAAGATATTAAGAAACATCTTTATCTCACATTAGTAGTTAATTCTAATCCAGTAGAAATTAAAAACCAGCCTTACAGCTACATCAAGTCTTTTCCCTTCTCCCTTAATTTAAACCTGTCATGTGATTTGGCAGGCCACTGGTGGCATGATCATTTGATTTAAGCTCCTTGCTCTACCTTGTCTTCCATCAAAGTGCTGCTCCCAACTTCTCCTGTTCAAACCAGAGAGAAAGGACGGGAGGAAAGAAAGTGAGAACTCAGGTCATCTGTCTCAGTATGGTTTAGACGCCCTGTGTCAATGTGACTTCTTTGTTTCAGGAAACTTTCCCTAGGAAAAGACGAGATTAAACCAAGGAATCATTTCACTGTATGCTTGAGGAAACTCCTATGGACTAGCTTTTTGGAGAAAATGGTCTGTAGACATGGAAAAACAGAGACCAAAGTGAGCAACCATTTGCTTATCGAGAGGCTTGTTATCAGTATGTTCTCTTTGCTGTGCTCACTAGTCCTAAAGTATCATGTAATAAGTTTGCCCAGTCCCAATCAATTTCCTACCTTGACACCATTTGAACCCAGAATCTCACTTCTAACACCTCTCTTTGGAATCACAGCTAAAACTCTCCTGGTGTCTGCCCCTCACTGCAAGAAGTTCGGCTATGCTTCATTTTGCTTAAGTAACAGATTGGTGATACTCTAAGGTGTTCAGAGGGACATAAAAGTCTTCACTTAGCTAGTGCTACTTGTGATTCTGCCTTTGCTGCTGAATATCCTCAGTTTTCACAGGTGTCTGAGTACCGGCTCTTTCCCTAGTGGAGAAACCATCTTGTTATAACCCCACCCAACTCCCTGGAATCTCCTGCACTGAACCATTCACCGGACAGCACACTCTTCCACAACTTCTCGTTAGCTTCTCACCCTCAGTTCCTACCCATCATCAGGGCTACACCCCATCCAGCTTTCTTCTGCTGGCATCCATTTGCTCTAGAGATAGACCTCTTGGTCCAGAGGAAACACAAACACTAGCCGTCTATCCATGGAAGCAGAGTTTGCTCCTAGAGCAGCTTCCTTTCACTCAGCCAATGCTAATGACTCACTGCAGCTTTTTAAGAGAGAAACAGCGAATACTAGTTACCCTAACTCACAGCCTCCAAGAAACATAGTTAATTTTCTGCATTGTCCTCTCAGTGGCTCTAGACCACAAAATCCCACAGATATCCCATTCCTTTTATTAACATGACACATTTAGTGAATGCATCCCGTACTTCAAAAGTCTTCACTGGGTCAACACTCTTTGTTTTCTTTGTTTCATATATTTTACTATTTTTTTTCTGGACAAAAAGAAGAAAGGTTAAATAAGAATTGAAATATATGACATAGTTCATGTTTGAGAGATTTATATTCTCTCAGAAGTGCATTTATTCATCTAATTGCTTCAAAAATTTTTGTTTTCAGTTAGGCATTCTTTGAACAAATATTTGTTGAGCTCCTATTATATAAAATGTTCCTATTGTATAGGATAAGATTACTGTCGCCACTTCTGGCCAGCCACCACACTGTCCGTGCATGGTCCTCATGAGCTTCTCTTGCTTCACAAGAAAGGAGAAGCACTGTGTGTGTGTGTGTGTGTGTGTGTGTGTGCGTGTGCGTGTGCGTGTGCGTGTGTGTGTGTGTGTGTGTGTGTTGTGAAGAGGGTGGGGGTTGATACCCTTCTACCAGAATGAACTCTTTGAGAGTAAACTTCTCCCCCTTATGAATGTCTAAGCTTCTCTTGATGGTTGGAACATTCTTAAAAACTATAAAACGGTGTGGCCACATCTTCTCTTCATGATGTGACTAGAGAAAGAGAGATACAGATGGACAAAGAGAGAGACACACACAGACAGCGATTTAAGGAATTGGCTCACATGACTGTGAGGTCTGGCAAGTCCAAAACTCCCAGGGCAGTCCAGGAGGCTGAAAACTGAGGCAGGGTTTCTTTCTTTCTTTCTTTCTTTTTTTTTTTACCCTTTTTTTTATTATGTTATGTTAATCACATACATTACATCATTAGTTTTTGATGTAGTGTTCCATGATTCATTGCTTGCGTATAACACCCAGTGCTCCATGCAGAACGTGCCCTCCTTAATACCCAACACCAAGCTAACGCATCCCCACCCCCTCCCCTCTAGAACCCTCAGCTTGTTTCTCAGAGTCCATAGTCTCTCATGGTTCGTCTCCCCCTCCAATTCCCCCCCCTTCATTCTTCCCCTCTTGCTCTCTTTACCATCTTGAGGCAGAATTTCTTCCTCTAGGAGAAACCTTTGTTCTTGCTCTTAAAGCCTTAACTGATTGGACAAGACCTACCCACAATTATCTAGACAATCTCTTTAAAAGTAAACTGATTGTAAATGATAATTAAATCTACAAAATGTCTTCACAACAACACAAAACTAGTATTTGACCAAACAACTGGGCACCATAACCTAGTCCAGTTGACACATAATAATTATCTACCACAATCTCCGTTCTCTTGAAAATCTGGGCTGAGGGTATCTATTTCATAACATATACAGTATGAATTAGTGCATAAGACTTTAAGCAAGAGTAAATTAAAATTTTACTTGTAAGTAATCTTACTCTCAGTTCATAAAATTATTTTCATACTTCTTTTTTTTAAAGATCATTTTTCATATTCTTAAGTCTAATTTGTAAGGGAGATTTCTAGCAGTTTCATAATTGCTCACTGGGATATGGAAACCTCTTAATACGTGTCTATGTGTGTTCATAAGAACAATTTCTTTTCTGCTAATGATCTCTCCAGTGCAGTCCTGCTAGGAACACAACTCTGGCCTAGCTGGGCACGAGACATATTAGGGCAGAGGGCAATGTTCAGGGAATTTGTTTCCAAGAAAATTTCCTTTTAAAGATTCATTTATTTTAGAGAGAGAGAGAGCACGTGAGCGGGGGTGGGGGTATGGAGGGGAGGGAGAGAGAGAATCTCCAGCAGACTCCCCATTGAGCATGAAGCCCAATGAGGGGCTCCATTCCACAACCCTGAGATCATGACCTGAGTCAAAACCAAGAGTTAGCCACTTAACTAACTGAGTCACCCAGGCACCCGACCCCCACCCCCGAGATAATTTTTAATCTATTTGCCCATCTTATGCTATTTCTGATCATCATATTTCTCATGTTTGCTTCATTCATTAGCTTTTGTCATACTCCACCCATTTTTATCATGACTTTCCTTTATCATTCTCTACCTTTCTGCTTTGTTTCCTGTACTTTAACCAAGTGTTCATTCTCTTCATAGTTTCCACAGCTCTTGGAACTATTATCATTTGCATTGGGTACTTCTTTGTCAGGATATGGGTGTCTTGTGCATTGTTAGATGTTTAGCAGCTTCCCTGGCCCCTTCTACTAGATGCCAGTA